CGATCTCGTGCACCACGCCAGTAGGTGTGCGCACCACGACCCCTGCCCCGGCGCCGTGTTTGCTCGCCGCTCCATCGACGTAGACTTCCCAGACGCCCTCCGGCGTTGTTTCGAGGGTTACCCCCTCTGCAATGAAGTCTGCGAGGATTTGTGCCTTTATCGCTGGCCTTGGCGCGTACTGAATGTCGTACTCCGACAGCTCGACCGCCCATTTGACCATGCGCCCCGACACTTCCATTGATGTCAGAATCTTTTTTAGCGGGAGGTTTGTCAGGACGGTGATCTGGTGCGCTTGGAAGTACGGGCGCAGCTTCTGCGACGCGCTCACGAGCGCCAAGGCAGCCTTCTCGATGGAGGAGTATCTTGTTTCTGCGCTGACAAGAGTGCGCGAGGTGTAATACACCGGTTGCTCGGTTCTGCCGTCTCTTCGAGATATTAGCACTGCACTCACGGCCCTTGTTGACACGGCGAGATACAAGAAAAGTTTTTCATTAAGCTTGGGGGCCGTTAGTACAGGGGGGATACAAGATACGCCTTTAGCTCTTGGAACGCTGCTTCGCATTCTGGAGTCCATGCGAAGCGCGCCCCGTTCTTGAGCGTTTGGAAGAAGGGCGCGCACTTGTCAGCGGATCGCGGTATGAACCTCCCCAGCGCCGCTATTTTGCCATTCAGAGACTGGATTTTCAGCGCGTTCCGGGGCGCCCGCAGCTGTTGGACTGCGGTGATTTGCTTTGGGTCGACCTCTATGCCGCGCTTGGTTATCATGAACCCGAGGAACTTCCCCGCTTCCGCTCCGAAAACGCACTTGAGCGGGTTGAGGCGAAGGCTGTGTTGACGGAGAGCTTCGAAAGTCTCGCGCAGGTCCTGCAGGTGTGACTTGCCCGCTTTCGTTTTGACGATGAGGTCGTCCACATATGCCTCGATGTTCCGCCCGATCTGTCGCGAGAAGACCGTGTCAATCATTCTCTGATATGTCGCGCCCGCGTTCTTTAACCCGAACGGCATCCCCACAAAGCAGAAGTTCCCAAACGGTGTCATGAACGACGTCTTTTCTTCGTCTTCCACGGACATGGGGATCTGGTGGTACCCGGAGAACATGTCGAGGAAGGATAACGTCTCGTGATCTGCGGTTGCGTCGATCAGTTGGTCGATGCGCGGCAGTGGATAAGGGTCTCCTGGGCACACTCTGTTGATCGTGGTGTAGTCGACGCACATCCGTCAGGCCCCTGATGATTTCTTGACCAATACCACATTTGCCAACCACTTTGGATATTTTACGGGTCGGATTAGCCCGGCTGCTAGTAGGCGCGTCACCTCCTCTTCTATCGCCTTCAGCTTATCGCCCGTGAAGGACCTCCGCCCTTGTTGCCTTGGCTCTGCGTTGGCTGGCACTGCAAGGCTATGTTGGGCTACCTCCCTGGGCACTCCTGGCATGTCTTCCGTGCACCACGCGAACAGTTCCTTGTACTCCTTCAGCAGCGCCACGAGCGGCTCGATTGCGTCACTGCTGACGTGAGTGGAAATGCGTATCTTCCTGGTCGGCTCGGCTGGATCTAGCGCGACCTCAAAATTGGAATCCATCGACTCCGGTCGGGGTTCTTCCGCCCTTGTGTCGACGATGTTGGTTTGTCGAGTCACAACGCGATCTTCCCATGTCGTTCCCCGGGCTTCTCCCACTCCTCTCTGTGTTGGGAACTTGAGTTTCTGGTGGCAGGTTGATGGGAGAGCCAGGAACTTCGCAAGGAATGGCCGGCCTAGAATGCCGTTGTGCGCCGATTCGCAATCGACGATCGTGAATTCTACCTGTTTGGAGGCGCGAGGCTCCTGGTCGCCGACCACCACAGGGAGAGTGACCACTCCAATGACCGGGACTTTAGTTCCAGAGAAGCCAACTAGGTTGCCATGCGCGCGCCTGATTAGGCGCCGGTCGATGTCCATTTTGTCAATGGTACTCTGGAAGAGGATGTCAGCCGCGCTACCTCCGTCTACCAGGAGGCGGTGGGTCTTGCAGGCGGCGATTAGCGCGGTGATAATGAGCGGCTCCTCTGATGGGGTTCCTTGTGGGAATTCCGCGTCGTCGAAGCTCAGGTTGAACCTCGCCGGCGCGTCGGTGGTCGCGCACTCCATCGCGCGCTCCCGTTTGGTTTTCTTCTGGGGGCGGTCTCCTTCGACCGTCACCACTCCAATTTCCTTGCGCACTACATATGTGCCTGTGTCATCGTCATATTCGGCTTGGGGTGGTGGCGGCGGCGGGTGCTGTGGGTGCTCAACTTGTTCTTTTTTTACGTGAACAAACTCGCCCAGCAGCCCTCGCTGTATGAGGCCCTCTATTTCGTACCTCAGGTCTCGGCACTCTTCTGTTCGGTGCCCCGTTGCTCTGTGGAATTCACAATGCCTATTTGGATCGCGCATGTAGGGTTGGGATTTCAACGGGGCAGGCCAGTTGATCTTGTAACCCTTCTCGCGAAGGACATGGAACACATTCCTCATTGAGTCATTAAGGGGAGTGTAGGCGTTATGCGCGCGCCTGTCCGGCGATCGCCCGCGTTGCGCCTGCTCTGGTGGGGGAGGAGGGGCGCGCTTCGGGCCACTGTGCATCTGTAGCAAGTGGTCTCGTGGGATTGCGGCTGGAGGCTGACGACGCGCCTGTTCTTCTCGCGGCATTTTCGCCGGCTCGAAGCGCCTGACGGACCCTGCTCCCAGGGTTTCTTCCAACGTGATCGCCTTTTCGATCTTCATCTCCAACTCCGTCGACAGCGTGACGGGTCTCTTGGCCAACGCCCGCTTGAGCTCCATATTGTTGGTGGCCTCCATGAGGTGATGGGCGGCTGTTTCGGGGGTGAGGTCGCGGACGGCCATTGCTATCCTGGACCATCTGGCATAGAAAGTTCTCAGGCTCTCTCCATCCTTTTGCCTGATATCTATCAGGGCCTTGAGGTGAAGCGGGCGCCGTTTCTGGGACGCGAACTTCGTTGTGAACAGGAGTATGAACTCCTCGAATGAGCGGATGATTCCATTTGGGAGGCGGTTGTACCAGTCGAGGCATATGCCGGTGAATGTCGACGGGAAGGTTCTGCATAGCGCGGCGTTGGAGTTGGTTTGGAGTTGCATACGCAGGCAGAAAGTGCTTACATGGTCTTCCGGGTCGGTCGTGCCGTTGTATGTCGGGAGGGCGGGCGTCGCTCCTGTTAGGTTCTCCGCCATTATCTGTGCGCTCAGCGGCTGGTGAAGGACTCTTTTGGACGGGTTGGGTCGGTACTGCGGAGACAGGTGTTGCTCTAAGAAGCTGAGGTCCGCCCGCTCTGGTGGCTCGATTCCCGCCGCTTCGCACGCGGGGAGTTCCGTCGCCCCGTGTTGGGGTGGCTGGGCTGTCCCCGACGTTTCTCCCAAAGCTTGCTGTGGCGCTACCGCCAAGGTTCGTTGAGGCGCGTCCGCCACCGCACCGGTCGTTGGCGCGCTATCCCTGCTCATCATGAGCGCGATAACTTGGCTCATTTGTTTCTGCATGTCGGCTATGACGTTGTTTTGCTTTCTCACTAGATCCCTCATTTCTTTTGCCGTCAGCTCGGGCTCTTCTTCTTCAATGAGCACGGCGTTGAGGTTGCTGGCTTCCGCGAACGTCCTCGGGTCAGTCATTGCCTTGATTGGCGTTGCTTGGTCAGGTTGGTCGTGGTTGTGCTCTGCCATCGGGGGATTTTCTTTAGCGTTTCTTCTTGGCCCCACGGTGGGCGCCAATTGTTTGAACCTAACTGAGTGTAGGAGTGAGGTTCGAATGAGAGTTTGGGTCAAGAAGAAACACAAGCGTCAAGTTTGATCAGGGAGATAGGAATTAGGGAGTTGAGCGAGGACCGGAGTCCCAATTTTTAGAAAGAGAAGTAATAGTTATCGAGAGAATGGTGAAAAATCGATCCCCTCACCCACCGTAGTAAATGCCATATTTATAGGCTTCATGGTGGTGGGTGAGTGGCTGACATAGGGAGAGATACAGTGATGTGACTACTGGGATACAATGATGTGACCAATGATGTGACCACTAGCACACTAAGGTTTTTAGGCCATTCCTCTACCTAGGATGCGTCAGAGATCCACTCATAGCCCTGATGTGACTACTCGCTTGGAAGAGGTGCGCTTCCCTCATCTTCTGGTTTGGCCTACGCTAGTCCTCCCCTAGCGCATGTCCTCTCTTCGCGCCGGGACGTGGTTAGCCATGATGAGGCGGCACACTCGGGGTCTTTGCGCCGCCGTGTTGGGGTCTTATTCAGTTGCGCCCGGTTCCTTGGCGTGATTAGGCCCGAGTCCTATGCCCAACAAAAAGTAATATTTTTATAGTTAAAGTAAGTTTACTAGCATATAATTAAATATATTCATGTTATAGATGTTGAAGAAAATTTTATCGAAATGACACGAATATAATGCGCTGAAATATCTTCTTAGTTACAAGAAGGACAAATTTTTTGTATATGTAGTACAATAAGAGATTTTTGAATTAGAATTAGAAGATCAATGATTTTTGAATTTTTTCCTGATCGACCAAATGTCCTCTACATCTCCCTCCGCCAATCACTATGGTAGAAGTAATCATTTTCGTATAACCATGATCCTCGCTACAATTAAGCACCATAAATATTTTGCTCAATCTCAAGCAAGAGCAAAACGTAAATTCTACTCATAAGTAGTATCGATCTCAAGTAAATTGCAATGTTTGATTCTCCAGGAACCTCAGAAACTGCGAGTGGCCTTGAACCTAATGAAAATTTACTTATATAAGTAGCGTAGATCTGAAGTAGAATAAAAATATAAAATGCTTGACTGTCGTTAAACCTCAAGAATTGGGAGCAACCTCGAACTCGTAATGTGTTAACCCCGCAACCCTTTATGCTTAATTGTCATGCATTTGGAAAAAGTATTAATTGGGGGAGCAAAGTTTCCATTAATCTTAAGACTTCCCGAAAAAGAAAAACAAACATTCGCCAAATCTAAAACTCAGGTTCCAGTCCAGCTCACACACACCCACGTGGAGCGAACCCGATCCGCGACCCGGCCAAATCGAACACCACCCGGAACCCTTGCTGCTGAATATTCCCGATGATCGACAACCCGCCCATCGTCCCCGCGAAAGCGAAGCAAAACGTGCCGGCGGTGTCCACCGGGACGAGGTAATTCGCCGCCGGCAGCGACACATCGGCGCCTCGGAAGTGCAGCACCACCGTGGGCACCTTCACCTCCGTCTTCCCCGAAAGATCGAAGCACGTGTCGAACAGGGAGAAGTCCGGCGCCCGCTTCAGCGTAGCGGCGCCGACCCGAAACGCGTCGCGGAGCGACACGTAAGCAGGTCGGGTCAGCCTCGTGACCGAGGTGCCCGAATCGACGATCACCCCACCGTTCCCGGCCGGGTCGAGCTTGAAAAGCTCGGCCCGGATCCCGGGGACACGCGTCCCGCCCACGCTGATCCCGAGCAGCTCCACGTAGTAAAACGTGTCGAGGCTCGGGTTCGAGACCAGCGGGGTGAACCGGGCGGTCCGGGAAACCGCCCGGTCCCCGAACACCATCGACGACGGCTTCGAAGAAGCCGAGCGGTCCACCAAGCAGTACGAGAACTTCCGGTTGAACCGCCGGCCCGTCTGCGAGGGGAAAGACAGTTTCCCTCTCCCCAGCCCCATCAAACCCGCCGCACCGACGAAAAGCCCCTCGTTGTCGTGGCCGCACCCCACCGCCACGCGCGGCACGCGCGTCCGGCGGAACGTGAGCGTCTCGGTGGAGAAATCGCCGTAGGTAAACGAGCCGTCTCCGTAGGAGACCTGATACAAACAGGTCTGGTTCCTCGAATTGCAGCCCGGAGAGTCCAGCCGGCGGCAGAGCGGCGCGTCGCAGGGGATCCGGGAGTAGGAGCTGGATCTCCTCGGGTCGAAAACCGGATCCGCCTGGGAGTAGCACTTCTTGCACGGCGCGCACTGCAGCCAAACGACGTCGCTTCCTGTATCCAAGACCATGTACACATTCCTCGGCGGAGTCCCGACGCCGAGGCGCGTGAAGTACTCGCCGCTCCCCTGCGCGAGTCCGGAAATTACCGAGCTGCTGAATCCAGCTCCAGCTCCAGCTCCGCCGCGTCCTCCGGCAGCGGCGGTGACGGCGGATTGGATGGTGTCGACGCGGGAAGCATCGCGGAGGAGCCTGGAGTGGAAGAGCTCCTGTGGAGTTCTGTTGGAGGACAGAGCATCGATATGGTGGAGCTGCACGGTGAAAATGGAGGCGGCGGCAGCGGCGGAGTCTGGAGATTGTAGATCTCCGGTGGCAATTGAAGCTAGAGGCTGGGATTCGTCATTGGCGTCGGTCCAGGAGAGGGATTGGGGAGGGGAAGGGAGGCGATTGAGGATTAGGGTTTGAGATTTGGGGAGTGGGGCCGGGAGGGATGGAGTGAGGGAAAGGAAGAAGGTGAATGCAATCAAGAGGAAGGGGACAACGCTCGGTTTTCGATCCATGGGATGGGAAGGAAGCGGGAGTAGGGAGCGATAATTGCGCAGGGAGTGTACTGTGTATAAATAATGTGGGCGGAGCGGTGGGATTTTTTTTTTTTTTTTTTATGGTTGAGCGGTGGGATTTTGATAAATGAAGTCACGGGATTTTTGTAGGGTGCGGTGGCGGCACCGGTGCGGGGAATGGGCTGACCAAAAAAATCAAACCGAGTTGGTACGGAATGGGAATTTTTTGTGCCGCTGATTTCGGTTCGATTGACAATCAAGGCTGGTGGTGGCCAAAGAAGAGAACCTTTCCTTGTCGAGTTCACACAACATCTATAGCCATAATATGACCAACAAGAAAAGAATGGTTCCATTTTGCATCTACATGTGCAAAGCCTTATTTTTTCAAAATCAGGAGTGTGATGGGAATTGGATTCCTAGCTTTGGAGGTCTTACACCAACTACATTTGTTATTAGAATATATCTATCGAGATCAATTAATTCGTTTTGATGATTTCATTAGTTAGTACGTAGTACATGATGCAAGACTAGCAACGATAGTTTCATTTTTATGTAATGGCGGCTCGACAACTCTTTCTCGCCTATTTCGACAGTGTCCCCCCTGCTTCTCAATGGTGTTTGTTGTAATTTATTTTTATAGCTCCTAACAAAAGAGGGCTAACCAGGTTGGTTACTAGGTTGAATCAATGTTTCATTAAATGGGAGATATAAAATCAAGGACAGTTATATAATCTTTATATTTATGACGGTTTCAAAAGTATCGTGTACCATAATCCTGAGTCCAGACTCTAATAAATGGAAAACTTAATGACCCTTATTTTCCAAATCCACTTTAGGCAACCTATTAATTGGGGGGATCACGGCTTGGCTCAAGATAGGGTGCATAACCCATGGTTATGCACCCATCAATAACCAAATCTGGACCCTTCATTTAGAAAATCCAGATCTAAGGATGGAGAATTAAAGGCTATTTTTATTTTCACTAGCTTTCTTAATTGACTCATATCTTTTTAGTTTTAACTCGGATTTTAATTTTTTTTGCACAGATGGAACGAGTTCACCGCGCTCTACAAAATGAGATCAATTTTCAATATTTTTTGAGGAAACAAAAATTATGGCCTCTCGGTACCAACTGCATACCATATGGTATCTTCTTCGTTTTTAATTCGTTTTTGAAAACGTTTGCACAGCAGGGACGAGTTCATCATGATCTACTGGATCTACAAATTTCTGGGTGAACAAATTACAGGACCAAAAAATACCACACAAATCTTCTTCGTTTTTAATTCGTTTTTGAAAATGTTTGCACAGAAGGGACGAGTTCATCATGATCTATTGGATCTACAAATTTCTGGGTGAACAAATTACAGGACCAAAAAATACCAAAAAATACCATACAATACCACCCTGGTACGGGGTGGTATTGTGTGGTATACAATGTTAAAAGTCGTAAATTACAATTAATATACTTCGACTATCATGTATTCAACCATCCTACAGTATTGGTTTGTTCATACCACCATGGTACGTTTTTCAAAACATAGGTGTGCTTTTATTTCATTACCAGTCAATACCATATGGTATAGGCTGGTAAAAAATGGCTCAATTTTTTTTGTTCAAAAAATATACTAAAGTGAATATCATTTTGAAGAGCACAATTAATCTGATCTAACTGTGCAAAAAAAAATTAAATTTCGACTTAAAATGAGCGAGAAATCGTCCGTCAAAGATTAAAGAGGGAAAAATTAAAGGCTTTCTATGAGAGAGAGGATGCTGATATCATGCTGATGTGGACGGGTTACTCATGGTTACTCACCATAAGGTTACTGACCTGATCCATTCCCCCACGGCTTTCCCCATTCCTCTAGTTAATTACTTAATTACCAAAATCAAAACCCTCAACTAATTATAAGAAGAAGATGAATTAACCTAAACTCTGTGAGTGAGACGAGCTCCGAGAAACTAGGAAGGGTTTTTTGAGCTCCGAGAAACTAGGAAGGGTTTTTTGAGCTCGTAGGGTTTCGCCGTCCTCTCGCCTCCATGGCGGCGGTGCCTGAACCGCCGGCCGGAGGCGGAAATAGTAACGCAGACCTCCTCTCAGGTCAAAGACGACCTCCAACAGACTCCTCGTCTCCGAATCCGAAGGGGGATAGGGAAGCGCAACAGACGAAGAAGAGAGCCAAGCCAACGGTGAACGCGGACATCTCTGATGATGTTCATACTGATGTCAATATGGAACCTGTTGCGAACGCTCCGAAATCACCTATGACTCAAAGTCCAAAAGCCTCTGCTTGGAGTCATGATATGGGGGTAGCACGCCGCCTTTTTGGCGACTCCGCAAGGACGGATGAATGGTATGTTGCAGACTCCGACTCGGAGGACGTCGCGGAGGCCATGAGAGCGGATGGCCGGGAAGCGGAACCAAAGGAGGAAGACGACCCGCTTTGTCCGCCGATCCACTTCTCTGCTGTGGAAGAGAGACAATTCTGTCGCCCGTGGAGATCAGCTCTTGTTGTTAAAGCACTGGGACGTTCAACTTCATATACGGCCATATCCAAACGCCTCAACTCGATCTGGGCTAGGGCTGGTAGCATTCAGGTGACGTCAGCTAAGAAGGGATACTACCTGGTGCGTTTTTCCAGCGGCATCGACTACGAGCGGGCGATCACAGGGGGCCCCTGGATGATGGGCGAGAATTATTTGACTGTTCACATGTGGGATAGCAACTTTAACCCGTACGAACATGAAATCTCGTCGACCCTGGTCTGGGCACGACTACTCGAGATCCCAATACAATATTTTCATCCTGAGGCTGTCATGAAAATTGGGAAACGAATGGGGAAACCGATCAGGGTGGACCAGGCAACCCGGACAGGTGCTCGAAGTGACTATGCTAGGGTGTGTGTACAGGTGGACCTAACGAAGCCGCTTCTATCAAAATTTCGAATTAACGGGAAAAGGTACTTTATACAGTACGAAGGCCTCGAGAGAATCTGCTTACAGTGCGGAAGGTATACATCTCATGGAACCTGTCAATGCTCGAAACCAGCTGAGCCCATGGAGGATGAGACTGAGAGTTCTCCAAAAGAGACTGAGGAACCACAACCAGAGAAGGTCTATGGGGAATGGATGATCGCGAAGCGTAAACCTCGAAATGGTAGACCCGAAGCAACCACTACGGGCCGCGGTGCGATGGCCACAACTGTGAGGCAAGCAACTCAGGGCGTGCAGAAAAGCTCGGGGTCCAGATTCCAAGCTCTACAAAATGAGGAGACCGAGGGACCTACGAAGGAGGCTCTCGAGGAGCCATCAGGTGCTGTGCAAGAAGAAATTGGGCCCCAGCCGAGAAGCAAGGGTAAGGAGGTACCAGAAAAAGAGCATGGCGGGAAAGCTCATCCCAACTCGCCGAATCCAACAACACCCCAAGCAAGACTCGTGCAGACTGGAGAGGATATATCCAGTGGGGCTCTGGAGCAGAACACTATGCAAAAGGACAGCTCTGGAACGAGGAAACATAGAACGAGTACCCAGACTTCTTCTATAACGGAGCCTATAGAGAAGCCCACGTTACCACAGGTGCAAGTGACACCCCAAATCCCCGGCCTGGATGCGACTCTGCATGGCAAGCAAAGTAACATGCAGACAGTACAACATCTGGGGCGGCCTCCAGACGATCGAATCGTACCGCGGCATAAAAATGCTTTGGATGGTGGAGTGGAGCCGAGGGAGATATTAATGTGCGAAGCTGACGGAGCCTCTCCGTCCGGGAACTAAACCAGGGAGTTGCCTTTCTCTTACCTTTCTATGGATTTTAAGATTCTGTCTTGGAATTGTAGGGGGGCGGGTAGCAAAAGTTTTTTGAGAGTGTTTAAGGAATATAGTCGTAGACATCGTCCGGATATCGTGATTATTGTTGAGCCTCGCATTAGTGGGGATCGTGTGAACGAGATTGTTAGGAAGATGGGTTATGATAGCAAGTTTATTGTTGATGCGGCAGGGTTCTCGGGTGGTATTTGGATCATGTGGAACGCAGGAGACTTTGGAGTAACACGGCTGAATAACCACAATCAATGTCTCCATGTGCAGGTACAGAGCTTAAATTCAAGCGGGATGACCTGGTGTCTTTCCGCGATCTATGGGAACCCGGCGCCGATTCAAAGAAGACAACTTTGGGATGAGATCCGGCGGTTAGCGATTGATCAAGACTACCCCTGGCTGTTAATGGGAGATTTCAACTCTATCCTCAGTCCGGGAGAGAAGCTGGGTGGAGCACCTTTTGATGCTTCACGGATACGAGACTTCCACGACTGTGTGAGCGACGCAGGCCTTGTGGATGTCGGCTTCACAGGCCCAGCGTATACCTGGTTTCGCCGGGGGCTACGGGAAAGATTAGATAGAGGCCTGGCTAACACTGAATGGGTCAATGTCTTCCCGGACTCGACGATCCGCCATCTCCCTCGGCTCAAATCGGACCACCGACCGATTTTACTGTCATCTCAGGTGCACGCACAGCCGGGGGGGCGCAAACCCTTTCGCTTCCTCGCGGCTTGGACGTTGCATGAAGATTTTTTACCTATGGTAGCGAGTGCTTGGGCAAAGGGAGGACGCTTCACTGAATCGGCCGAAGCTCTGGCCAAGGATGCGGAGGTTTGGAACCGCACTGTTTTTGGTCACATCCAGAGGAAGAAGGAAAAACTGATGAACAAATTGGAGAGACTAGAGCGCAACAGGGGAGGGGTCTTCGACAGCCAGGAATTAATCCAAGTCAGAGAGGAGCTCGAGGCAGTGCTATTACAAGAAGAGGTGACCTGGTGCCAAAAAGCTTGCTTAGAGTGGATTGTATCGGGTGATCGCAATACGAAATTCTTCCATACCCGTACCCTCCACCGACGCAAGCGAAACCGAATTACTCTCCTAAAAAATGCAGCAGGTGAGTGGATCGATGACCCGGCAGTTTTACAAGACATGGCTGTCGCATTTTTCGGATGGCTCTATACTGAGGAAGGGGGAGAGATGCAGCACATCCAGGCGGATTTCCCACCCATTGAGACCGAAAAATGGGAGGAGGTGAGCAAAGATTTGACGTTGGAGGAAGTTCACTCGGCCATCCGGACTATGGGGGCACTTAAGGCCCCGGGAAAAGACGGCCTAAACCCATTATTTTTTCAGAAATGCTGGTCTATGGTGGGAGAATCCTTGGGTAAATTGGCCAAGGAATGTTGGGAGGAGCCGAGAAAGATTAAGGAGGTGAATTCTACCATTCTGGTTCTGATCCCAAAGGTGGCTCAACCAACATCTATTGAACAGTTCAGACCCATTAGTCTGTGCAATGTGGCCTATAAAGCAGTGACTAAGTGCCTGGCGGAAAGACTGAAGGAACTGATGCCATCGCTAGTTCATGAAACGCAGACGAGTTTTGTACCTGGCCGACATATAACAGACAACATCTGCATCTTGCAGGAGGTAGTTCACTCTATGCGAGCGAAAAAGGGAAGGAGAGGGTGGATGACGCTAAAAATTGACCTTGCTAAAGCCTACGACCGGATCAGATGGGAGTTTGTTCGAGATACTCTCCAGGCAGCAGGCGCCCCGCCGAAATTTGTGGAGCTCACGATGGAATGTATAACGTCGACAGCCATGCAGATACAGTGGAATGGCGGACTCACCGAACCCTTCTACCCGTCGAGGGGACTCCGTCAAGGTTGCCCGCTATCGCCATATCTCTTTACACTATGTATGGAGAGGCTTGGCCATTTGATTGATGATGCTGTAGCTTCGGGCCACTGGAAACCAATCAAGTTGGCGAGCTCAGGGCCGTGCCTTTCCCACTCTTTCTTTGCCGACGACCTAATCTTGTTTGGGGAGGCCACGTTGGAGCAGGTGGGAACAATGTTAGACTGCTTTGAGAGATTTGGTGGGGCGTCAGGCCAGCAGATTAGCAAACCGAAATCCAGGGTGTATTTCTCAGCAAATGTGCTACCTGAGGCGCGACAAAGCTTATGTGAAGCCCTGGGGATCCCTGAGACTACTAATCTGGGAAGATACTTGGGGGTGCCGGTGATTCATGATCGGATATCAAAAGCTACGTACACGGAGTTGATAGACAAGATTGACTCGAGACTGGCAGGATGGAAAGCTTCGACACTGTCCTTGGCGGGAAGGATCACACTAGCGATCTCAGTCCTCTCGTCTCTCCCAGCCTACACTATGCAGACGGTGTTCCTCCCGGCGAGTGTGCGAGATTATATTGACAAGAAGATACGAGCATTTGTCTGGGGAAGCACTGACCAAGGAAGGAAAATCCACCTTGTTGATTGGGAGACCCTCTGTAGACCGAAAGCGGAAGGAGGATTGGGGCTCCGAGATGCCACCAAGACTAACGAAGCTTACATGATGAAGATTGCTTGGCGATTACTCATAAACCCGAACGAGTTATGGGCCAAAGTAATCCGCGCGAAATATTTCAAAAAGACTGCAGAGGGGCTGGTAGCTCGAACGACGGGGAGGCTATCGAATCTCTGGCGGGGGGTGCTGAGGGTATTGCATCGAGTGGAAGAGGCCTCTAGCTGGAACATTAGAAACGGGCGAGTGGCCAAATTCTGGAGTGATCGGTGGATGGCGGACGAGCTGATCCTTAAAGACTTCGCCCCTAATCTCCCGGAGGATTGCTTACAGATGCCAATCATCGACTTTGTGCTGAATGGTGAGTGGAACAGGGATTTCCTCAATGTATTCTTACCTCCCCATGTTGTTTCGCAGGTTACTCTTCATCCGGTCCCGGTGGAGCTGGAAGATGACGTCCGAGTCTGGCGGCTGTCGCAATCGGGTGAATTCACGTTGAAGACGGCGTACGAAATGCTGGACAGTGGAGACGGCAGCAGCGACCGACACCCATGCTGGCGGACAATTTGGAAAACTCCTACGATGCAGCGCGTCCGATCGTTTATGTGGCTGATGGTTCATGACAGGTTGCTAACCAATGCGGAGCGCCACCGACGACACCTGACGGAAGACAGCAGCTGCAAGATGTGCGGCGGACCAAGCGAGAGTGCCATGCACGTCGTGAGAGATTGCCCGTTTGCGAGAGCAGTGTGGGCGGATTTCCTGGATGGCGAGCCCGACAGTAGATTTTTCGAGCCGGATTTGAAGCGATGGTCTCTTTACTACCTGTCTAGTCGGAGTAATGTGGTTGACCCTACCTTGTTTGCAGGCACGTGTTGGCTACTGTGGAAGAACCGGAATAGTCTCATATTCGAAGGTGAGCAGAAGACCCATGCACATATCCAGTTTGACGCAAAGCAGCTCAAGACTCGGATCCGCAATGCTTTTGAGCAGGAGTCGCGCATTTTCGGAGCCGGGGGACTCCGGGAACGCCGCCTCATCAGCTGGGAACCACCGCAACCTGGCTGGCTTTGTGTGAATACCGACGGCTCGGTTATACAGGCGAACGAAAGCACATCTTGTGGAGGGATCATACGAGGGGACGATGGTCGGTTCGTTAAAGCGTTCTCAGCGAACCTTGGAGGGGGTTCTATTACCCGAGCAGAGCTGGCTGGAATTGTGCATGGGTTGAAGCTCGCCTGGGAAGAGGGGGCTAGGAAGGTGCTTCTTCAGACAGATTCCAACACGGCAGTCACCCTGATTGCGTCTGCAACGACCAACCACCCACATTATACGACTGTTGCTGAGATTCGTCGCTGGTTAGAGAGGCCTTGGCAGGTTAAGATTGAGCATGTTTATCGTGAGGCGAACTTTGTTGCGGATTATCTAGCCTCTCTGGGGCATTCCCTTGCTGTAGGGATGCATGTTTTTGATGTTCCTAGTACTATGTTGCTGTACTGGCTGTACTTTGATCGAGTTGGGGTCCAAACACCCCGGTTGGTTTAATGCATAAAGGTTGGGGCGCCCTTTAAGCGCCCTGTTTTCGACCCAAAAAAAAATTATAAGAAGAAGATAAGGATTTACTGGTCCATCACGGATTCGGCCACTTCAGCCCACAAAAGTGGTGATCCATTAAATTTACCCCTAATCCGAAGCTAACGAGAAATCCAAATCCCGAATAGCTCCATTAACTAAAACGGGCCGTTACCTTTCTTGGGCTTCTCTGGGCCGCTCCGCTTACTATAATACAAATCGATAAGTTGGACAGCTCCAAAGTCCAAAAGTTTCGTGCAGTCCACGCCTCGCGGTCCTCTTCAACAAAATCCCAAGATCCACCCCCGACGGAGATTGCAGGTAAAATCCCAATCCCTAACCCTAATTCTGTTCGCCTTGTTTTCCATTTTTTTAATCGCTTCTTGTTCCTATGTGTATATGCTGTATGTTAAATCAATTGTTGTGAATTGTGATGCTGTTTCCTCGCGCTTTGTATTGTTCGTATTCGCTTGAATTGTCGCTCGGATGTTTTCCTTTTGATGTTGCTTGATTACCAGATACGATACGGAATGGTGAGCTTCAACACTGTCGAAAGGGAATGCGTTGCTGCGTACCAGAGGGAGAAGCAGAACGTGATGAAGTTTATCGAAGGACTCCCTGGACGAGTTTCGCTTACACTGGACACGCGAACTTCTCGTGAAGGCTTAGGCTGCTACGTGGTCATCACTGGCCACTTCATCGATGGCGATTGGAAGCCACAGCAGAGGAAGCTGAATGTGGCGATGGTGCCCAATCCTGATTCAGAATCTGCCCTCGCCAACGCGGTGTTGCGCTGCCTTTCCGATTGGAACTTGGAAGGTAAACTGCTCTCTGTCACATTAAACCATCCAGCGGCGGGAGAAGCTGCTCTTCAAAGTCTTCAAGCACTGCTGTCTGTCCAGAATGCAGTGATTTTCGACGGCCAGTTGGTGCGCGGCAGCTGCATCTCCCGCACCCTGACCAGCATTGCGAAGGAGTTGCTGTCAGCGTGTGGAGATCTGGTGTCGAAAATCCGTGACAGTGTGAAGTACGTGCTGACCGAGGAGTCAAAGGAGCTGATGTTTCTCGACATCAAACAGCAGCTGCAAATGGCGACGGACAAGAACCTCAGGCTCGCCGATCAGAATCACTGGAACACGACGTACGAAATGCTCCTAGCTGCTTCGGAATTGAGAGAAGTGTTTTCGTGCTTGGAAGCTTTGGATCCTGACTACAAGGAAGCACCATCGATGCTGGAGTGGAAGCAAGTGGAAACAATTAGCTCAGTCCTGCAACTTCTGGTCGATGCAGCAAACCTTCTCTCGTCGTCCTCCTCCTCCTCCTCCTCGACCACCCCTGCTGCTCTAGCGTGCTTCCACGAAGCGTGGAAGATTCAATCGCAGCTCTCTAGGCTTGCTGCAATTGGCGATCCTTTCATCGACAGCTTCATCGGAGGATTGCAGGACAGGATCGAGAAGTACATCAAGGAATGCATCCTGGTTCTAGCAGCTGCAGTGGTGATGGACCCTCGGTTCAAGATGAAGCTGGTCGAGTTCAGCTTCGCGAAGATGTTCCTCCACGATGCTCCCACATATATCGAGATCGTGGGCGATGGGATTCGCCAGCTTTTCTGGGAGTACAAGGTGCTTCATCAGCTAGACGAAGAAAAAGCAGACCCCAAACTGGGGATTAATGTAGACATTATGGAGCCCAGGAGGTATCCGATTAAGTCGGAGCTAGATGTGTATTTGGACGAAACATTGCTCCCGCGAGTGGCGGATTTCGATGTGTTGGGATGGTGGAAGCAGAACGAGGTGAGGTTTCCTGCTCTGGCGAAGATGGCTCGAGATGTGCTGTGCATTCAGGTGTCTGCTGGCTCGGCGGAGAGCTTGTTTGACACACGGTGCTTGCCGAAGGAGATGGAGTACGGGAGCTCGGTGAAGCCGGAGACGGTCGAGGCACTCGTGTGTGCGAAGGATTGGCTTCGTCGTGCGGCGGCGGCAGCAGCGGGTGGTGATAGATGATGGGGCAGAGTGATTGAGTTGTGAAGATGGAGCTTAGGTTTGATTGGAGTGTGGAGAGTATGTTGTTGAGGAACCATTCATTGCTCGTATTTTTTTCATTGTTTTGTTTTTGTGATATATTTGACTATATTTTGGATTATATTATTTGCATCAATTTTGGGAATTATATTTGGAATAACATTGATGTGGTTGATATTGATTAATATCGTGGTCGTGCATCTCAATAATCAAGTTTTAAATTGCTAATCAAAAGGTAATATAGCATAGCAGAACTTCTTATAATCAGTGTGTATCTCAATTCTCAAATAGAGAGAATTGAGACTAGTTTCTTATCCGGTCTGTTGGCCGGAAAGTTTCATTATCATTTATATCATCTATATGTTTAAATTATTTGAATCTTCTACATTTTTATACTCTCACTTTATAAGCGCGTATGCGATATGCCCATATTAAAAATTCTAAATACTTAGCATACTCACCTATAATGCTATTATTCTCTAATAAAAAATCATATCGTGAAGGTTTATCACTTCCCATTTAGGATAACATATCAATATTTATCAACCAAGACACTCAAATTTATTATATTATACAACATATAACAATTCGTGATTCTCGAGTTATGACAAACTCTAAACCAATTATTGATACTTCAAATTATTAGATAAAGATACTTAATTAGTTGATAAATTTTGTTTATCCCAAGTAAAAATTGACACATATCCTACCCCTTACGATGATCATATTCTCTAATCATGACTCATTTTCTTGTGAATGTTAATGAAGTCTCAATTGAGGATCTTATGTCAAATTTGTCCATCAAGACAATCAAATTTAGTATCTTATACAATATGTATCAATCACTAATTCTTGAAGTTTGAACTAACCCTCAACCCATGGTTGTTGTCTATATGTTGGTTTAGAATCTCAACCCAAGACACTCACACACACTATCACGGGTTTTTCTTGTCTTGACATGGTCATTTAGTGTATAATTTTTCAACTTTTTTAATGTGCATTTGTAAGATTTTCTTTATTTTTGGTGTTTGGTTCATGAATCATACCGGACATTGTACCGGAAAAGTCAGTGGTAGGGTATTAATGGCAAAATCGTGGTTCAACCACAGTTCAACCGTTAATACCGTGAAATATCGCCTACCGGTTTAACCTCCGATAATGGTATTTTGTGGTTGAACCGCCGGTACGATACGGTTTCATGAACTATTTCTGGAACAACATTTTTATTACTTATCTTAATAACTAATAAAGCATGTCTACAATGCACACGGATTTTAGATGCATTTAAACGGTGTATCGTTTGAATAATTAATTTATAATTTTTTTAAAGTTTATTTTTATTAATTTTTTTCAAAATTCATACAACCATTATGACATTTCGCATACATATGGATTTGTGGATGTATTGTAGACACATCTATTGTTAATATCTAAGCATATATAAAGAGTGTATTTACTTTTTAATCCTAATTAATACTTTTGAACTTTGCTCGTTCAATGGAATATGGAAGGAAAAAAAATTATGGCTATGATAACTCGATCTAAATACAAATTTCATACTGTTACAAAGTAAAATATTTCTGTTTGGACACTTTGATATCAGAAGAATTTTGTTATTGCCAAAATTTGATATAGAGTCACAGTCTCACAACCGTACTACGAAATGACTTCTTACAATTGCCTTGTTGAACTCATTCTTATTAAAGATTCTTCATTTTTAACCCAATAAATCGGTTTAGAATTTTGTAACTATAAATGCTTTTGGTGTTGATATCTCAACCAATAAACATATGTTTAGTTATTGTATTAATCCTCAAATTTATATTTTCTACCAATACATTCAACTATTAAACGAAAATTGTCAAACTTTGTTTGATCAATGCCTAATCTGGCCAGTGGTTGATGATACGTATCTTCTACAAATACTTCTCTAACATTCACATGTGTCATAGTATACGTCTACATCGTCAAGTTTCTATCAAGATCTTTTGTTATATAATACTTGCTTTATTTGATAGACGTATACATTAAAGATGAGAGAATGTTTGATAGTTAAAAGTACAAATACTATAGTTTATTTTTGAAAGTCGATTGATCGTCAAACAGCTGTTTTCTCTATTTACATCATTATATTTGTTTGATCGAATAAAATATTATCATTTATGCGTGTGTTTTTTTCTAATATTTCATATAAATCATGTAACTTATTATTAAGTTTTAGCATAAATGGGTAGAAAATTGTCTTATTGAGGTAATAAAATGTTTTCGGTTTAAGAAAAGGTGATTGATTTCACTTTACAAACATTAGTCTATTATTGCATACATAGATATAATGCAAAAGCAAAAAGAAATTATTGAATAAAAGAAAAAAATATTAAAAGAGAGAGATAACTCCATAAATTGATCATTAACTCAATTTTTAGTTTCCACTGTAGACCATCATCCCAGCAGCTGAAACTTTCATCCCATAACCATGCCCGTGATGAAAGTGGCCGCCACCACCTTCACCGTTACTCTCCAAACCCGCTCCACCCACCTCCACGACATCGTTCCCCACCTCGCGATCTCCCACAGCCGCAGCAACAACATCATCAGTCGGTGGTGGCCTGTCCAGCCTGCTGGTGTAAATGCTCGTAGCCACCGAATCCACCATCAGCGTCACCAGAGTCGACAGCATGGCGGCGAACCCGGTGAAGGGGAACTTGTGCCAGGGATTCTCCGACAGGCAGTGCGACGACAACATGTCGAAGGAGTCCGGCAACACGTGTATGAACCTGGTGTCTGATATGATCCCCGAGGCGAAATGCCTTCACGAACACGAAAGGGCTCTTCTCCGGGTCCAGAGCCGGCACCGACCGCGTTGCAAGCGGGAGGCACACGCCGACGATGCTCTCCGCCAGGATGGCGGAGGCGGCGATGAGCTTCAGCGGCAGCAGGGCGCGTGAATTTTCGATGCACCCATTTGTCGTCGAGGATGATCCATGGTCCCCGCCGCAAGTGTCCTACCCCGCGGACGAGGCGGCGACGGAGATGAGTTTCGTCATCATTGTGGTGAGTGAGATGATGAGTAGGGTTGGATTTGCTCTGGCCTCCATTTTGGACTTGGGGATGAAGATTGTTTTGAATACATAGCAGTACGGAGTTGGACGTATTCTACAGAGAGGTTGTGGAGGAGAGAAAACGACGGGGGGAATGTGTCGGGTTGCTAGTTGTGATGGAATGTTTTGAGGTTTGAGTGTGGAAAATGATTGAACGAATGAGTTGCCACAAGCTGGAATATGAGGTTAGTGGGGGCGGACACGTGTGTGGAAGCACACGTGGCTGGTAGAATGGCGCACCATGTCATAGAGAAATTTTATCTTGGGAGGAGGTCGAGTTTGCACACGCACAGGTCCGACACCATGTGCTTAATAGAGACATATGGGGTTATTCGAACAAATGATCTCCCGATTAAAAAAGGCTCTGATACCATGTGAAGAACCGGTTATTCTAAATAACTCGAGTTATTGAGAGGAGTTCAATTGTGTATCATATACCGTTTATTAATGCATGCACCCCCTCAAACTCAAGCCACTAAGATAGGTCTGGAGTTTGTACAGCTAAACAGGCACAGATCTGGATACACAATGTGCTTAACTTAATATATGAGGATTATCGAGATTCAAACAGAAAACCCCACTATTACGAAAGACCCTAATATCATGTAAAAAATCAGTTAATCTCAATAACTCGACCTGCACACTACATGGCAGCAAGTCAGCAACAACACACTTGATTCCATCTCCCAACACCTCCTGTCACTCATGTTATATATCATTCGCCCCAACAAAACCCTTTTCCTTCACCGCCACCTTTAGCTTCAACTCTTCCTCGACTCCCTGGTCGTTACTCCCACAGCTCGACTCAGCGTCAGCCAATATCGCAGCGGTCTCGCCTTCCTTGTTCCCCTGCAACTTGTGCTTGCCAACATGCTCCAGGACCTGTTCCAGATTGCTTCGAAGCAAATTCGTTGTTGCCTCATTGGTCTGCGCCACACCCCTCCAAATCCGATTCTCTACACACAAGCTTCTGACTTTCTCTTTGAGATCACAGTTCCGCTTCCCCAGCCTCTGAATCTCGTCATCTTTCTCCCTCAATCGCTTCACAATCCCTTCCTGTATCGCTTCCACCATCATTCTAGATTGCCTCCTCTTCCTCTCTTCTAATTCTATCCTCATTCTGAGCGTCTGGTGATCACAAATAATAATAATAATAATAATAATAATAATAATAATAATAATAAGCAGATAATCATAATCCAATCCCGTTTGAACACGTACAAGAATCACATAATTAAAAGGATTTTTCCAAAATAACAGCCTTTCTATAAAATGTTGTCAATATACAAACACTTACCATAAAACGTCCCAAAATATACGAGTTTCACGCAGTTCGCTGGAGTGTCCAATATTCTAGATACTAGTTCGTTGGAGTATATAGTGAATTAGTGTGGATTGCCGCCGGCAAAAGTGAACTAGCCTTGAACCAGCGATCTAGCCCCCAAATTGTAAATTTGTGCTTGGTCGAATAACGAAGCACAATTTGTTTTTGTCTCTAAAAGTTATGCGGAATCAAAAACAATTTTACTATGATTGGATAATCGAGCACACAATTAATATCATTTAAAGTATACGTATTATGATTTTTGGGGCACGATCGCTTTAGTAGACCGCGATCTACCAAACGGTTTGCTCCGATCCTTTACAAACCAGTACCTAGATTGCTCGACACTAAATTTGTGTATTTTGTGAATATCTTTTTGTGCAAGTGTGGTGTTGTCATAATTTTTTAATCGAAGTCTGATATTTTGAGGCGAAATTTATCCAAATTAAATTGACATACCGGTTCAACGATGAAGCGGCGGAATTGGGATGGCTCTTGTTGAGTCTCTAAGCTGATGATGTCTTTGTTGCCCGTTGAGGATGGGAGGCCGGAGAATTTGGTCTTCTGATGAGAGACCACCTTGTAAGGGCCGATTAACTCAGCGGAAGGGTCCCTGCACCTGTAGCGACGCTTCCTAGAGGCGAGTGGGGGATTCATCACGATGTGCCTGGAAGTGAGTCCAATTTCCGAGTTGTTGTTAGTAATGGTAACGGAGGTGGTCTTAGCAGGAACGGGATCGCAATCGACGACTGGTTGGTACATGGGGATATCATTTCCTTGAACGGATTTGAATAAGTCCCTGAAAAAAAAGGATATTGAGGACAAGATGGAGCTATAAAGGATGAACAGAGGATGGAAGCAGAGCAGGGGATTGCCGTACCTGCTGTTGTTGGCGTTGTTGTTAAGGAGAGAATGAGAACGAGAAGGGAAAAGGGCAATTGGAGGAGGTTGGATCGCCATGTTTAAAAGATTTGAGAGGCTTCTACGAGGTTGTGGTAACGAACAAGACGAATGTGATGTATTTGGTATTCAATAGCATAGTGAAAAAAGATAGGGAAGATACGGACATGAATATATAATGTGTAGAGAAGCATGCAAGAATAGCAGGGGATGAAGGTAGAGAAAGGAAGTCAAAAGAGTAATACAGAGAAAGAAAGTGATTTAATAAAAGAGAGGATTGAATGAAAGAATTATAAAGATAACTAATTAATTGATTGATATTTTATAACACAATATAATAAATTAAAAAGAAAAGGTTGCACTTTCTTATTAAATAATTGTAAGAAAAAATTTACTTTCTTTTTGGGTATTTCACTTTTTCATGAGGTTCCCATAAAATCATACTTTTTGCATAATTGGTGAGAGGAAATAAGGAAAGACCATGTTGCTGATTTTCTTCCTTATATATTTGTGTTGTATGTTACCTTCCAACTTTTATAATAATCACATAGACCAAGTAAGTGAAATGATGAGATAGAAAAATTAATTCCTTTTTTTTTCACGTTATCTAGTTACCTTACAACCGTACTACGAAATGACTTCTTACAATTGCCTTGTTGAACTCATTCTTATTAAAGAGTCTTCATTTTTAACACAATAAATCGGTTTAGAATTTTGTAACTATAAATGCTTTTGGTGTTGATATCTCAACCAATAAACATATGTTTAGTTATTGTATTAATCCTTAAATTTATATTTTTCTACCAATACATTCAACTATTAAACAAAAATTGTCAGACTTTGTTTGATCAATGCCTAGTCTGGCCAGTGGTTGATGATACGTATCTTCTACAAATACTTCTCTAACATTCACATGTGTCATAGAATACGTCTACATCGTCAAGTTTCTATCAAGATCTTTTGTTATATAATACTTGCTTTATTTGATAGACGTATACATTAAAGATGAGAGAATGTTTGATAGTTAAAAATACAAATATTATAGTTCATTTTTGAAAGTCGATTGATCGTCAAACAACTGTTTTCTCTGTTTACATCATTATATTTGTTTGATCGAATAAAATATTATCATTTATGTGTGTGTTTTTTTCTAATTTTCATAAAAATCAAGTAACTTATTATTAAGTTTTGGCATAAATGGGTAGAAAATTGTCTTATTGAGGTAATAAAATGTTTTCGGTTTAAGAAAAGGTGATAGATTTCACTTTACAAACATTAGTCTATTATTGCATACATAGATATAATGCTAAAGCAAAAAGAAATTATTGCATAAAAGAAAAAATATTAAAAGATAGCTATAGCTCCATAAATTGATCATTAAACTCAATTTTAGTTTCCAAAAAAATTGTCCACCTTGGCAACTTGTGAGTTCTCCAAATGCTTATGTGGCAATAAGTAACTTTTGAACAACCATAATATATAGTAAGATAAGATCTCTAGTTCTCGCAAATATGTAAAATGGCCAATAAACTTCTCATATTAACAGAACTGGGCAGAGCATTAGAATACTGTAGCACGCGGGGAGGATCGAAGCAAGCAGAGTTGAGTTGCAAATAGATTTGTAGGTGGTGGTGGCGGCATTGCCTAAGGGGCAGTGTTGGGTCAAGCATTGAGACACACGGCCCAAGGTCACTAAAAGCCCACAAGTAAATAGATCGGGCCCAAACAGGGCCAAAAATATACCGAATTCCCACCAGAGGCGGTACGTCCAAGGTCTAGGCGAGACCGCCCGACATAAGGGTCTAACAGACTTCTGACTCCCTCGGTACGGAGATTGACTGACAAACGTACGATCTGACTATGCATTTAATAGAACCAAAGGCGTCCCTGAACGCCCGACAGACCATTAAATGCGCCCAGCTGAAACTAGTATAAATACCCCTCAATGGGTACATTTAAGGTAACTTCCAACCACTACGTTCTCTCTCTATTTCGTATTCTACTTACTTCTCTCACTAACTTTGGCACAAGAGGAGGTCATAGGATTCCCCTGAGGACCTTTTCTGCAGGGTTTGCGAGATCGCCCCAGACGATCAAAGCCTACGCGAAGCCGGTGAAGCCTCACAAACCACCTGGTACTAATCAGGCTCAAACAGGCAGGTCGAGGCGCAGCACAGATATAAACCAATTATCCATCAAATCAAGTTGTTGATGGGCAAATTTCAGGAATGTAGTGTTCGACATGTTTACGGAGTGCAAATTTGTGTAGTCGATTATTTGACAAATTGGGGCCATAAAGTGCGGATAGATAACTCCGTAACCGACATGGAGGAATCGAAAATGTATAATAATTGGTTAACGTGTGATGTTGTCGGGGTCACTCGACCTCGCATGATTAATAATAGGGGTTAGGTCACCCATTCGCATCGGTTATTTCACCCAAAAAAATCACTATAGTAAAATCAAGAAAAACTACATGTCATCTAATCTCCATTCAATTTAAAGATTATATTTATTGAGGAATAAAAGTTTCCTCATTAATATCCTGTAAACAAAAGAAAAGTTTCCTCATTAATACTACATAACATTACTAAAATCCCTAATTAATAAGAACGATAAATACAGTTTTAAGGAAAATAGGACTTCCTTAATAGTTTGCCTACGTGTTTGTAATAATCATTACCCTTTAACCCATAACGAACCAACCACCCGAAAAGCCGGTCCACGAACCAAAATGACGCCGTTACACCGTCGTTTGGGCTTCCGTGGTCCGGTTACAGTTTCCTCCTAAACGAGAACACCTCCTTCTCCGCTCCGTTTAAGTAGAGAAAGAGATAAGTTGGACCGCTCCAAAGTCCAAAAATCAAAAAAAGAATTTTTATCCGCTGCGTGTGCCCACCAAAAAAAACCCGAAATCGCTCCCCTTTTATTATCTTCCCTGGTCCAATAAGCCGCTCGCCCCAAGCCCAAAATCCCTCTCTCCTCTCTCGCTCCACCGTCGGTCTCGTCCCTCTCTCTCGCTCCGCCCGCGGGCCTCTGCAGCATAAACCCTAGATCCATCCACCGACAGAGATCGCCGGAGCTCGGCCTCCGACCTTCGCTCCTCCCCTCTTACCTTAACGGACATCGCCTGCTTTTCCTCCTCGTCGCTTCCTCTCTCACCGCTGGTAAATCCCTAACCCTAATTTTTTTCTCGTTTTTTCTCCCCGTCTTCTCGCGCTTCCCGTTTCTATGTGTTTGCTGTATCTTCAATTGATTGTTGTGGTATCGTAGTTTCTTCGCGTTCGTTGAATTTCTTCGATGGGATTGTTGCGCGAAAGCTCTCTGGGCCGGGAGGTAGGAGAACTGAGTGATTTTTGCGTTTTGCCATTCTCCCGGGAGTCGTGTTGGCTTCCTTCTTGGTTGTGGTTATCGGCCTTTTCAAATTGGTTTGGGGATTGGGATATTTTCGGGGTTTTTTTTGTTGCCCTCGTCGTCCGCCTAGTTGCTTCTCCGGAGATTTGTTTTTTGATTTCGGCGTCGGGAGGCGGGAGGGCGGTGGGTGATGAAGTTCCCGCTTTTGCCTTCTCGATGTTTATATGGTGTTGGAGTTCTTCTATTCACCGAGCTGGGTCGATGGCTCGATTGCTAAAAACTCATCACTTTATGGGCCTACCTGATAGGACATGGCTCATAGACATAACATTCCAAAGGCCCATCTTTTGAGTAGACCGTGGTACCTGCTGTCCAGGTTTATTGCATAAGTCTATTGCTTTCTGTTTGCAGTTGTTCTCTTCTACTCTGCTCTCCACGCTTATACAGGCCGAAGTAGTACCATCATGTACTATTCCTTCCTTGGATGATTGGATGCATCAGAAGATCACTTTTCCTGGGTTGTTCATCATGTGTTCTACTAAGGTTGCTGAACTGTCTCTGGGTTTTTTTTCTTCCTTTTATTGGTTGGCAGTGAAATTGGCTTTGGAGAAAAGATGGAAATCCCTGAAGAGAAGTATCAGCTGACACCCGTGGAGAATAATGCGAAGCCAGCAAGGCGAAGGAAGACAAAGTCCCATGTCTGGAAATACTTCACAGTCGAGAGCATCAGCCCTGAATGCAAAAGGGCATTCTGCAACACCTGCAGGAAGAGCTTCGCTTACAGCATGGTACAGGAGAATGGCGGCTCGAAGGTAGCCGGTACTAGCCACCTCAAGCGCCATCTCGAGAAGGGAACCTGTGGAGCTACCGCAGGGCTTGATAACAATAATGAAGGCGATGATCAGGCGACTCCTTATACGCCTTCAACCAGGACTCGGACCACTGCCAATAAGAATGCGTCTGGTGCAAGTACAGGGGTCAGCGAGTCGAGAAAGCGTCGCTACAGATCCCCCAGCTCTGCCTACATGGCGGTGTTCAATCCTGACGTCTGCCGCCAGGACATTGCTCGAATGATCATCATGCACGATTACCCTCTTGACATGGTCGAGCATCCTGGGTTTCAAAGTTTCGTCCAGAGCCTTCAGCCACAGTTTGGTGCAGTCAGCATCGACACCATCCAAGGGGAATGCGTCTCATCTTACTTGAGTGAGAAACAAAAGGTTATGAGGTTGATCGATGCGATGCCAGGACGAGTCTGCCTTTCTCTTGACATGCGCATGTCGAGAAACAGCTTGGCTTACGTGTTCATAACAGGCCACTTCACCGACAGCAATTGGAAGACCCAGAAGTGGATTCTCAATGTTGTCCTAGAACCATATCCCGATTCACATAATGCTCTCAGCCATGCCGTTGCTTGTTGTCTCTCTGACTGGAGATTGGAAAGCAAGCTGCTTTCCCTCACATTGAACCATCCTGTGCCTGAAGCCGGGCTCGAGAATCTCAGGTCTCATCTCTGCGTCAAGAATCCACTCATCCTGAAGGGTCAGCTCTTGCTCGGGCAATGCATCTCACATACTTTCACCGCCATGGTCAACGACATACTGTCTGCAGGAGGTGACATCATTAAGAAGATCCGTGACAACATAAAGTACGTCACGACTTCGGAGAACCACGGGGAGAAGTTCTTGCATCTCAAAGAACAGCTTCAGGTCCCGAGCGAGGTACATTTGTTCCTTGACGACAAGAGTCAGTGGAATACGACTTATCAAATGCTGGTATCTGCTTCGGAACTACAAGAAGTCTTCTCTTGCTTGGACACTGTTATTCCTGAATACAAAGAAGCTCCAACCATGGAAGATTGGAAGCAGGTTGAGAGCTTATGCACGCACTTGAGGTCACTCTTCGATGCAATGAACTTGCTCGTCTCTTCCCCTTCCCCTCCTGCAATCACACTATTCCAGGAGGGGTTTAGGATCCAGACTACAATCGCTTGTGCAGCAACTGGTGATCCGTTCATTGGCAGCTTCATCAAATCGATGCAGGAAAAGATAGACAAGTATTGGAAGGAGTGTGGCTTAATTCTTGCAATTTCTGTAGTCATGGATCCTCGTTTCAAAATGAAGCTCGTCGAATTCAGCTTCTCCAAACTCTTTGGTGAGGAGTCTCCTCTCTACGTTAAGATGGTAGATGACGGGCTCCACGAGCTGTTCGAGGAATACGTAGCACTTCCTCTACCACCATCACCAGCTTACGGTGGCGATCATGGAAACATCGATCGAGCAGAGGAACACAACCAGGGAGGGAGTATTTCAGAATACGGTTTGGCAGATTTCGACATGTACATCATGGAAAACACCACCCAGCAGTTCAAGTCGGAGATAGACCAGTATCTGGACGAGAACCTCGAGGGTCGGGGCTCCAATTTGGACGTGCTGGAATGGTGGAAACAGAAGAGGTCGAAGTACCCGACAATGTCGAAGATGGCGAGGGATATCTTGAGCATTCCCGTGTCGACTACCTTGCCCGAATCGATGTTCAGTACCAAGCCAAGGGAGCTGAGCCCGAATGCTAGGTCCGAGACTCTTGAGCCGTTTGTGTGTACTAAGGACTGGTTGCAGCATGGGTTGACTGAAGATTTCGGTGGATTAGAAAGTTTGGTGGTTTCGGATCTTTCGAACCCTGCCTTGAAAGTTGAGTTCTAGGACTAGGATATTGTTCTATGGTTTGTATCAAATTTTTACAGAGCCTGGTATTGCGTAGGGGGGTGTTTATTTGATTTCATTTGGCATTTTGTTCTAGTTACTTTTAGTTGGAGGGTTTATAGTTATTATTTCACGATCGGTTAGGCTAACTGTTTTCTTTTCGTTCTTTTGTACCATTGGAATCATGGAAAGAAGGAAGTTGATGGATTTGTTTGGACGATGTTGCCTGAATTTGAATACTAGTTCATGCTGCATTCATTATCTTCCAACAGAATTCTTAAGGACTGTAGAGTCAGAGCCCTAAAGAAGCAAATACATGAAAACGCCGAATAAACGAAAACCCAGATTGGAGAACTGAAGTAGGATTCAAAGTGTTCTATCTTATATTTTGTGTTTGTTACATGAGGGGGAAGACTAATCAACACGCATTTGAGACTTGTTCAGTTACATAAGTTAGACTTTAGAGCATATGGGATAAGAAAAATGGTGCATGCGAACATGATCTTGAAAACGCGTCGAAAGCAGCAGTCGAAAACTGACCAATTTCCTCTTGCTTGCTGTGATCTTTCCCTTTGATTGTTCTCCAGATGATACTGGTATAAGTTTCTCTACATTACATTCTCATTTCTCACCACCTCTCTGATTTCCAGTATCTTTCTACTTTTGCTCCAAAATCAGAAAGGGTCATCTGCCAAATTGCAAGACTGAAGAGGAACTATTCCAGAGACGAAATGTATTCTAAACAATAATAGGCAGGATAGAGCGTAGCTTGTCATCGTGGAGTTGCAATTTATGATTAGCTTGTTGGAGATGGTCAGCATACTTCAGAAAGAAGGTATGTCCCGGCTCTCATTTTTCAGTGCTGGATTTTCTCTTGATGTCTTTCTTCATTATAAGAACCTACATCGCAGATATAAAGAAATCAAGGATTGAATGTAATCATCCTTTCTTAAGAAAGAAACCCGCACATAAGCAGACAGAATTTGTCTGACAGATAGACACCAAAGAACCACAGCAGAAACATATGAATTGCACCTTTCTGCGGTGTGTAGGATGAATCTTGTTCTGCGTGCAGTTTTCTACTATCCTCCTCACTTGCTCTGAAGTCTTTAAATGAACCCATAGCAGTAATATATAATTGAAGTTCATTTTGATTCTTTTCACAGGTTTCAGTGTAAACTGTAAAGTGTTTCTACATTACTACAAAGCATGGACATGCCTGATAATTAGTTTGACAAGGTTGTGCAGTTTTTAGTGACATCTATAACTAGTGCCATTTTTGTTTTTGTGAAAACTCATGCCACTAGTTTCTTTTTTGGGGTATAATCATGCCACTAGATCACATATCAGTCAGGCACTGTATTCATTGATAACCTCAACTATTTTCGTCAATACTCACCTCGTTACCCGACGTGATGGAGCACTCTTGGATACCATACATTGCGTTTTCTTTTCCTAGCAAAGCTGTTCCAGAGATGGTTTTCTCCATGAACTGTGGTGAAGCTGTCATTCACTGAATTTAACTTAACTTCAGTTCCCGATAGTTATCCAACTCTGTCCTGAGGGCTTAACCGACCCTCGGCCTTCCATTTCCTTTCTCACCTTTACAGCATCGTCCCATCTTCCAGCCTCTGCGTATATACTATACAAAGCCACATAATGTCCTGCGCGTTCAGGTTCCAGTTGGATTAACTTTTCAGCGGCAAGCTTTCCAACCTCTACATTTTGCTGGTCAAGGCAGGCTGTCAGCAAGGCCCCCCAAACAGACTTATCAAGCTCCAGGGGCATTTGATGAATGAAATTGATTGCAGCTTCTAGCCTACCGACACGTGCTAGCATGTTGACAACACAGGAGTAATGTTCCATTCTGGGGACAAATCCATATTCTCCGGTCATGCTCTCGAAGAGTTCAATGCCCTCTTCTACAAGGCCTGAATGATGACAGGCTGATAGCACCGAAGTAAATGTGAGAGCATCAGCATGAACTCCAACCCGCTTCATGTCTTGAAGAAGATTCAAAGCAGCCTGTGCAAGCCTATGCATGCCAAATCCTCTGATCATTGCGTTCCATGTTACTAAATCTCGGGTTTTCGCTGTTGTAAACACTGAGTATGCGGCCTCAATTTTCCCACACATGGAATACATGTGTATGACTGAATTCCAAACTGCAACACTCGTATGAAAAATGTGTTTCGTGGCGTAGGCATGAATTTGCTTTCCATGATTCAAATCACAAACTGGTAAAACAGTAGATATGGTTGTCTGATCATTCCGGATATCTGATCTCTGCATCTCACCAAAGCATTCGGGTGCTAAATCCCTTGACTCAGATTCTACAAAAGCCAGAATCATTGCGTTCCAGGCAACAACATCTGATCTGTCCATTAGTGCAAACACAGTTCTAGCATAATGAAAAGAGTCACATCTAGCATACATTGTCATTAAAGCCGGACCAGCTGATCTGTAAAATCTCCCACCAGGTTGTTGAGTTTTGATTCCATACCCATGGATGGCCTTCCCACACATTAAAGCACGCAGATGGCGACACGAAACAAGGATAAGTGAAAGGGAATCTACATCAGGAAAAATCCCTCCTCCATTCACCATGTCTTTGAAAATTATCAAACATGTAGCATACTTGCCAGCTCGAGAATAACCAGATATTAGAGTGGTCCATGAAATGATATCAGGAGCTTCAATCTGTTCAAAAACTTTTGAAGCTTCATCACACAGCCCCATCCGAAAATAAGCATCCATCAACATGTTAAATGTAATTACGTCAGGCTTAATACCCTCCAGTTTCAGACCACCAAAGAGCTGCACAGCTGAATCTAGCAACTCATTACTAATGAACCCACAAATCATTGAATTCCAAGTAGATAAATCTCTTTCTGCCATCTCTTCAAAAACCAACCTCCCGCTCAACACATTTCCACACTTCGCATACATGTCGATCAAAGCATTGCAGACATGAAAGTGTCGCTCGTGGCCTGAAACAACCTCCATGGACCCACATCCCTCCATCCAACCACGTCAACTGAGAGCAGGCTTTCAGAACTTTTGGGAACACTAAGTGATCCCCAGAGACTCCTTGAGACTTCATCAACCCATAGTTCTCCAAGCAGTCCTCGTACATCCCATTCCTTGAGAAGAACCCGAGAATAGCTGTCCAGGCAAACACATTAGGCTTCAGAAATACATCAAACAGCTTCCTCGAAGAATCAAGATCATCGCAATCAGCGTACATTTGAATCAGCTTAGTTACCACGAATTGGTTACCACCAGACCCTAATGCAATGACATGCTGGTGAATTTGTTGGCCTTGGTTCAGAGATTTGGAATTGCTGCACAGCTGAAGCAAGTGGGTGAGTTTGGAAACAGATGGGGGAGCTCTCTCTCAACTCCAACAGAGACAAGATTGTTCGCCTTTCGCCATAAGCTCATTTTCGTTGAGTTTGTCTAGAAAAGTTGGATGCTTTGATAGGGATCAATCAAAGAAATCGAGCACCAGTTAACAGTTGCTATACTTCCCGAATCAACTAGACAATTTGGTGCTTCCATCTACGCTTAATGGTCGCATGATTCTTTACCTTCATAGATGAATTGCAGGAAAGGCGATAACTTGACAATCATATGAAGGAGATTACGAATGGTTTCTTTTCCCCAGTTCGTTGAGAAGTAACACATAATGTTTGACAATATTTAGAGCTTAGAGTTATCCAACATCAAAAGGGAATTGGGAACCAGAAAAATTTACCAGGTTGAGTGAGCTCGCAAGCAATGGCAAATTCCTTCGAGGGGGAGTTTTTCACCATTGTCCATGCATCCTTCAAGTGTGTTTTCCGGCAAGACGGGTGATAAAAATACCTCCGACGGGCACCTGGTTTTTTTTTCTGTCGGCGGCCGAGGGAACGCCGGCGGTACGGAAGGGAGAACGGCTGCCAAGTGCCATCTCTTTCCAAAACTGCAGGTACTACTTCGAAGTGCTAAGCCCAGTTGCTAGTGTGGACTCCTATGAGGCCCAAGTCATTGACTCGGGAGTTCTTTTAATCGTAAAATCAACTTCATTCCAATCGAATACATAAAAGGAATCCCAAATCTAAACTATTGATCTAGGTATTGATTCAATTAATCAGGAGAGTTGACATCTAACTAAAGAGCTAGCAATCTTCTTGCGTTTCAATTATGTGGACTTCTTTGACTTTGATATGTGGCCATGTGGGTTTAATATGAGAGCAGACTTCATACCAATCCATGCAGCACAGAAGGACCCTCCGGTAAAGCTTAGGGGAGAAGTTGACAATCCATTTGGACTATACATTAGGAACCATATTCCCGATCTAATTTTAGGCTTTCGATAGAGCTTTTTGTTTCAACTTTAATCGAGAACTAGTTTTTTGGCCCGCGCTTCGCGGCGGTTATAAGCTAATTATTTATTTTTGTATAAATTTCATCCACTATAAAATATGTGTTTGATTGATACATAAGTAATAATTATCCCTTCAACATTCATAAGTTTTAATATATAGTGAATTTAAAGAATTGTTATAGAATGGTGTTACATAATATTTCATAATGTGGTCTAATAATAAAATGGTGTTATAGAATGGTGTTACATAATCTTAATGTGTGGTCTAATAAGAAAACCAAGTTACATATCTCACATTTGATTAAACTACTATATAATATTAACTTATCATACATAAGCTTTAATTCGTGTAATGCAAATTGATGAGATGTTGAATGTAGTAGGCAATAATAAAGAATTTAAGTTAATAATAGGTGAATTATGTGATATGTTTTTTTAATTGATACATAAGAAATTATGTGATATGCTTTTTTAATTGATACATAAGAAATTATTATCTCCATAACGTTTGTATATTGTCTTAGTCATTAAACTTATATTGTACTTTTTGTTTAACTGATATATAAGAAATAATTATTACTCTCTAAGATTTACCTAATGTATGAAGTTACGTAATTGTTATAGAATAATGTTACATAAATATTTTGTAGTGTCTGGTATAGTAAAAAACCAGGTCATCAAATTATTTTGTCTGACATAAGATCTCATATTAACATCACATCACTATAATATCAACATCATACCAATATCATATCAACATCATACCACTATGATATCAGACCACAGTCAGTGATAATATCATGATATGACAATGGTATTACGACCTGAAAATGTTAAGTTACAAAATTTTATCAAAATGGATATCATATTGTAAAACACATAAAATCTTATATTTCTGTGGGGAAAAAAATCCAATTTAAAATGAATGAACAATGGTCCATTGAATTTTCGAAGAAAATTTGAAAAGTACTTTGACAGCCCACCTGAAAATCCACACACTACTCCAAAAAATCCGGTGAGGGCCAAAAAATATGATATGGATTATTAGATCTCTTTTTTCAAAAATTACAACTATTAGATCATGTTTTTTAGTACTGCAAATAGGAAGAGCTTTGTATTGAAACCTATTCCATACAATTCTAATAATTGATCTCATCATTCCTCCCCGTTAATCTCAATCTTGATCGTGTTATTGTTTCGTCCATGACTAATTGATCGTGTTATTGTTTCGTCCATGACTAATTTTTTTCATCATTCCTTCCATCTCAATCTTGATCGTGTTAGTATTTGGTCCGTGACTAATTGATCGTGTTATTGTTTCGTCCATGACTAATTGTTTTCATCATTCCTCCCATCTCAATCGTGATCGTGTTAGTGTTTGGTCCATGACTAATGGATTAGGAATGGTAATGGTATTGAAGGAAAAATGCATGGGTTCAAAAAGTAGAGGGCTGCATTTGAGATGCTTGGACAACCGCAGCTCACATGTGGTTTAGCTACACACGGCCGCAGACAATTAAAAGAAAAGAGTGTTTATGAACAGTAACCCGAATTTAAAAGCTAACCCGTTTTTTTCGTAAGCAACAGTTAAAAATCTTAATAATTCTAATAATAATTAACAAAGTATAGTATCATCTCACCCATTATAGACTTGTCAATGATTGTTAATAATAATCACAAAACCATAAGTTGTCGGCTTGGAATCACGTCAGAACGACCAACCACAATGAATCGTCAAAAAAGGATTATTGTTTTGTGGTGGAGAAGTTTGTGAACAATTACCCCTGGGGCTGAGTACTTTGAGTAGGGAGAGAGGGGAGACTTCTTAGAGATGACATTAGCCCGGGGGAGTAAAGAGACAATGGAAGGACTCATTTGTGTGATAGCAACTGGAATAAGAGTCTTGTTGAAAGAGCATTTGTGGTCATGTAAGTTTGATTTTGTGACAAACATATTCTTTGCGCATCTCCAAATGAAGAATTTAAGTTTGGGTGGAAGATGCAAGCTCCAAAATCACCTCCAATCCTCTTCCTTACCTGTATGAAACATTCTCGCAATGACCTTGTGCATTGCTTGGTAAGTTGTCCAAACAATGTACCTTTTCTCACTTGTGATTTTTCAGGCTCAAATTCGAGTCTTCCTTTCTAATACGTATTATATGAAAAGCTTCCAGTTTACTTGGGGTGAATTGCGCCCCTCGATGATATCAGATTTTTACGTCCAACCTTCCTCATAAATCAAACTTCTGACTTTTATGTGCTTTTGCGGTCCAGTATCAATTATGACTTTCAAAAAGAAAAGGACCTAAAGGTCCCTATCAATCCAGTCAGTGGAGGAGCTAGGTTGAATCTAGCAGGGGCTATACCCCTAAAATTTAAAATTTAGGTAAAATTATATGTAAAATTTGTAACAAATTCAAGAGTTATTTTTTATTAAATTTTATCAAGACAATGCAATCCATAATGAACTACGAAAATCATTGTAAAAATGTAAGACAACATGACATATTCGAAATATTAGTAAAATATCTTGTTAAGTCCGAATTCGGGTTCGATCTAAAAAGTCATGATCCGAAAAGATCACTAATTAAGGTCGGATCATGACTCGAGTCGAGCTATCCGGAAAAGAAAAGGAGCAACTGAGAAAAAGAGGGGTTATTGACACAAATATTGTTTTTTTTAAATTACCACTAATATTGCGGATAAAATAGTATTGACGAAAATATTGTGTTTTTTGGCTAGAAGAAGGCGTGGCCGCCTAAGACTCAGGCCTTACCGCTTTAAAAAAATTTTAATAAAAGTTTTAGGTGCTGGCGCCTTAGACTAAGGCGCCCCCACCTTAGTCCGTTTTTCTTTTAACTGGTCTAGGTGCTGGCGCCAGAGACTAAGGCGCCCCCACCACACTCCATTTTATTTTAAAAACCCGACCCCCACCCACCCACACAGCCTTATCTTTTCTTTCCTTCCTCCTCCTCCACACAACCCCTCCTTCCTTCTTCTCTTCCTCTCCCGACCAGCCTCCTCCTCCCCTCCACCACACACTCCTTCTTCTCTCCGCCGTCGCTGCTACCTAGCCACAGCCACCAGGAGCGAGCCCGCCCTAGTGCCAGGCGGCGCCGCCGCTATGCCAGGACCCGCCGCCGCTCTGCCAGGCCCCGCCGCCGCTGAGCAAAGCGAGAGCGCCCCAGTGCCAGGCCCCGTCGTCGTTGTGCCAGGCCCCGCCGCCGCAGTGCCAGTCGCCGCCGCCCCAGAGTCCGTCGCCGCCGCCGCCAGGAGATGTCCTCCGACGAAGAAGAAGTCGCCGCCGACAGAGGCAGGGGGAGAGGCTGGCGAGGTCGTGGCGGCCGTATGCGCGGTGAGACTCTCGTCGGCGGCTTGATTTTTTTTAATGCTTTGTGTTTTTTTAATGGTTTGTTGCTTTGTTTTTGCAGTTCCTAGGCTTATGGATCCTTATTCGATGAGATTACCGCCGACGACAATTGATACAGGTCCGGTCGATGCGACACTTCTTTGGGGACATGGCCAACATCGTATCGACTCTGTTTGGACAAACGAGGTAAGTATTTGATAATTATTCATGTAAAGTTAATTAGCTAATGATGACTCGATATTTGCACATGTTTTCCCCTTTGTTTCTTGATCGTTTGAGCTTTAATTATCGCATCTTTGGCCTATTTTATGCTAGGTTGTGTTCCTTAGTCACATTTAGGTCCTAGCACATAAAGTGAAGCATAGGCGCAAGTTTCAAGTCAATCAGAGATCAATTGGCGATTCGGGAAAAGAAACTCGGGCATGACCTGAAGAAGAATGGATTTCTGCCTCACTTTATGGACAAAGAATCATGCAAGCTTGTCATGAAAAGAAATAGGACGAGACTACGAGCGTCTGGGATCAAACGACGACTGATTCGGAGTCCGGACGAGGGAGAAACGAAGCATTGAATATAGGGGAACAGGTTCGGCAGTAAAAACACGGGGGTGCCTAAATCAAAACACGGCCGTGCCCATATTTAGGCAC